GACAGAACTCACGCGAGAATTCATGCTAAGTATAATTCCAGCCGATTGTGAAATACCAAGTAAACATTTCCTCATTCTGCTCTTGCGTTCGAAAACCCATTTTGAATAGCAACGGATGACATAAGTTAAAGACATTTCAGTTCCCGTACAAAACACTTACCTTTAAAATATTGCTATTATTCACCCGTGTGTTGGACAAAATATTCTGTTTCGGATATCTCGGCAAGCGGGCGACAACGAGTGCTCACCGGTCGCTAAGTGATTTATCAAGACTTCTAACGCGGCTGCAGTATTTGAAGAGACTGCGGGCTAAGTTAACATTAAATTTCAGCCCGTTTGCTACTCACGAGGCTACAGCTACAAACTTTTGTTGTTTTCTGAAATAAAATATGCAGATGTTGAACATTTGCGACCTTCTGGTCATGGCGTGGTGCATGCGTCACGGTTGATGACTCCCAGAAATAAAAATGCTACGGAAAACACATCGGCGCACAATTATTTGAAGTCGCAAAAAGATTTTTAATGACGTTAAATGAGCGCAGCACTGACAAAAAGCTGACCAAAAGTCTTCATCAAATTGTGCCCGCTAAGTAATTATCATCTTTATACCGAATTCAAATCAAAGGAATTAAGAGATCAATTAATTCGCCTTTTCAACAACCTGTTCAGTACTAAAACTAGCTGTTTAAACAGCATTGATTGCAACATTCCCAAAACTGAAACTTATTTGCCATCAGAAAAAAATCCTCCATGAACGACCTCAGGAGGAGCACAGTTAAGAGAGGGTACTGGGTACTAGCTATGGAAGGAAGTGAGCAGCTGTCGCCATATTTCCCAGTAAGAGACGCACGCGAATGACAGCTAAATTGGTGATGTTGGATTTTTACACGCACGTTATGAAAAAGTATATCTTCAGAACATGACAGCTGATATAAGTATGCGCAGGCATTCTGCTTCTTTCTTGAAGGCTTAAAAAGCGTTTTTAGAAAATTAATTCATCGGTGGACCACGAGACCGCGGCGAAAAACACTGAGTGTAAAAGTACACGTACACTTAAACATTTGAACACCGAAATAAGCATCGCTCATGTGATAAATATATCATATTGGACGTTTTGTTGTGTAGTATTGCTGAGTATTTTTACGAGTTGTGCCGTAT